TTTTTAAATACCGTTGGATCAAATTTCAGTTTCAAAAGTTCTATAGCCTCTATTTAAGCTACTAATTTTCAGATGTGATGAACAGCAATTTGATACTTATGTATTATGGCAATTTCAAGACAAATATTTTCTGATTTTGAGAGATNCACGCTGGGCTCACAGGCGCACGGATTCGGCGTTTTTAAAACGTGCCGATTTGGGACGCCTGTGTTGTTATTTTGTTGCTAAGCAATAAAACGATTCGATTTGCGAAAACACCACGAGGATCGCACGAGGTGTTCACGTCATATGTACGAAAAATAAAGGTTATACTGTGTCTACTGAAATAAATCTCCGGATGCTGTCCGATCTGTTATCGATCTTCGTGTATGTGAATTTTCGTCGCCGATGGATGCCATTGAATAAGTTTTTTCGAAGTTTGTTTTCTCGGCATTTTGTACGCGCGGTTCAAGTTTTTAGGCAAAGATGTAATCACCGTTTGAGACAGTGAGATTGTTTGTAAAATATTTTGTTTTATTGAACCGATTCTAAAATTCTGAAACGAACAAATCTTTGCGTTTTTCATGACGAATTCATTGCCACTGTTTGATGTTAATTTCATTGTGATTTCGCAGAGTTATTTCGATTTCTTTGACCGGTGTATTTTCAGTATGTAGTGCCGTTTTGATTTGGTTGCAGATCAGCACATGTAAGGTCTGTAAGTTTTTAAATACCGTTGGATCAAATTTCAGTTTCAAAAGTTCTATAGCCTCTATTTAAGCTACTAATTTTCAGATGTGATGAACAGCAATTTGATACTTATGTATTATGGCAATTTCAAGACAAATATTTTCTGATTTTGAGAGATATTAAATAGAAGTCAACCGCACCAGGGAGTTGTTTGATAGCTATACTAGACTGACATAAGCTACAGTAACTAACCCCCCTGGGCCATGATTCTAGTTGTCAGGAAGATACTTTAGACAGGACTATAGTTTTTAGGTTGATAGTGTAGACAAGTGAAAGTTCTTTAGGATATTCTTAAGTGTTTAGTGCGAATGCTTAGATAGATAGAAGCTAACAATATTGTAGTTTGAAAGCTTTAGAAAATTACACCCAGCTAATTTATTTACATCTGTTAGCTAGCTGACAAGCAGACTAAAAGATAACTATGATCATATTAGATTAACTTGAACTGCATGGAAACTCAATTATGTATTAAAGAAATGTGTGCTGTTTGAGTGACAACTGCATTTAGTCATAATAAAGGCTATTTAGGCATTATTACTGGTTACATTTTATGTCACAAATATCTAAAACCCAGGATCTGAAATGCACTCCACTAGTACAAGGTTAGTGCARCTAGCACATTGCTGACCTCCTTTTTATTCTTGATRTAAGCTTTATCAAGTCAGTTGATGTTCCTATTGAAAACGACGGAAAGCATAGAAGAGCTWTTAACTTGAGTTTGAAGTAKTGTAGGCTTCCTGTGCAAAAATATATCCTAACAAACTTGGAAAAAATATTTATAAACCCCATCAACAGAAGAAAAATAACAAGAAATATTCCAAGTAATTTTTGAGATAAAAATGGAGATTTGCAAAATACTCAAGTTAGCTAAAGGAAGTAAAATGTAGAGGTAGGCAGTTAATCTCAAGATTTATTTTCTTATTTATACAAAAAGCATGTAAGTGCATTCAATAAATCCTTGAAGTAGTTTTATTATTATTTTTATTTACATATGTAAATTTCTTTTTACAAGTGATATACAAGTTAAAAAAGATTTGAATTCACTATTCATTATAATGACTTGTAAAAGGCCTTAAAAAATCATATACAACTGTTTATATTACAAAATTTGTGATGTTAATTTATGAAAAAGTAAATGATCTSAATTCATTCCACATGAAAAAGGCTTTGAATGTACAAATAATTTGAACTGAAGGAATCCTATATGATAAGGGAGAGCTTTCAGAACTGACAATGGCTGTTTTGAATTATTCTCTTCTAGAAATGTTGTTGTTAGAAAGAAAAGGTTTTTTGCTCATGCATCCATAAAGAATATTAAAAAGCTTGTGGAGTATCCTGTATGTCAGAATGAACAGTCACCGAATGAAAAAATATCAATGGAAAATCAAATTTTCAAGGAATTTATCCTTAAATTACTTGATGTGTTGAGATGTGGAAGCTTATATTAACCTTTGCAGGAAATATCTTGGTTGAAATCCAAGACAAAATCACCACCTATCAAAACATTTCAATAACTAAACATGGTGTCTTTGTTTTTCCTCAGCTAATACTGACAAATACACTGTAATGTTGACATGAGACATATAAAAAAAATCAAATTCACACATGCTGAGGGATTAATGCATTCCAGATAACATAATAGCAAGTGATCTGACAGAGATTGTTTCTTTGCAGAATGAGTGCATTATCTCAAATAATCTGTCTTCTCTGCAGCTGAGGCTTGCATAATATTTGTTCTTGAAATACTTTGATAGTAGTGGTGATTCTGTCT